TTGGAAAACGTAACATTTTTCAATTTAATAATAACAATAATAACAATAATAACAATAATGTATAGCTTTCCTTTCAAGATATTAATTTCATCTATATTTATTATTATTATTATTGAGAAAAGGGATAGTGCACTGCGAACAAAAAGAGCTGTTCCATCCCTCAGTCGGCTTAAAGTGTTTCTCCAAGTCCGATTTCTTTAATGAAAGACAGTAAAGAGCCCATCTTTCCTAGTCTTGAATCTTTATGATCCATGAAATACCCTCCTTAGTGTTTCTTCCGTATTCAGGTCATTACAAATAATTCTGTATAATTAATCCTACTTACCTACTTTAGGTATCTCTTAAGTATCTTCTATCTATCGTTTCTGGAAAGATTTCTATCCACAAGTTCAAATACAAAGCTAATAAAAAATGCTTGTACTCCAATCTCACCACCAATCCTGCTGAACTAACTAAGATACCTCTCAATATATCTATAACCTAGAGTTGTTGAAAAGCTTTCCATTAATAGGATCAAATATAAAACTACATAATAAAAAATACTTGTACTCCAATCTTATCTCCAAACCTACTAATCTAAGTAAGGTATCTTTAACCTAGCGTTCCTGAAAAGCTTTCAATTAATAGAATCAAATATAAAACTACTTAATAAAAAATGCTTGTACTCCAATCTTACCAAGACAATTTCTTCATTTGGATTTTGTTTAAAATTTTCACTCATATATTTATTTTCACAGAAATTTATTCTAAATAGTGTCCTTTCTCTGTCTTTTTAGCTTTAAGCAGAAAATCAGCTTGTTTCAAAATCGCATGTAATCATGATCCTAAACAAAAGGGTATTTTGCGTTATCCTCGCTACTCATGCAATTTTTTAAGACTTTTTTAACAACATGATTGTTGCATTCTTAGCATATGCACAACTTTGAGATGATGTGTATCTGTGACATCCGCACAAGTTCATCTATTCAAAGTACAGCATTCGGCCATGGCAAGTCTACTGCTCCTCTCAACAAAGCCAAATGATGAACTCGTGCATGGATGAATATTAAATATTACAACAATAAATGCATTTAAGTTCTATCGGTGGCATTAATATGTTATTAAATTCTAAACAAATGTTTGCATCCTTCCTCCGTGCGCCGTATATGATGTGTGTTGGTGTTTAGTCCTTTATGTGGCTGGTTTTGTGTTTTTTGATAGTTTGTCGTGTGGTATTAGCATTCGCCATGACCCCATTTTCACGACTCAAACGTTTAGAAATCATTTTCGTATTGTGTGTCAAGAAGTGTGTACGACAAAGATTAAGAAACTGAGATTATTGCCAGTACAACAAGGTTAATTGCTAAGCAAAATAAACCGAAATAAATGTCTTGACTTCCTTAAGAAGATTCGATATGAAAAACTTGTGGATAAATTAGTCAAATACTCATAAGTAAATTGTTTGGATGACTAAAGATAAACAATTTTGTCTTTTAAGTTGAGTTGAAAATGTTGTGATTGAAAAAGTCATTAAAGTCATATTATTGAAATTGTCATTCTAATGTGATAGTAATAGATGGAAACATAATAATACACAACTTAACAGATTAATACACAATAAAAACAGATTTTTAAAACTCTACTATGCATTATACTTTCCAATTGTTCAATAGTACCAACAAAAACTTGAATTTAACTTATCTATAAATTCCCACTTAGTTGGGCATTCAGTTCTATAGTCCCGACAAAAACTTTTCTATAAATTCCCACTGAGTTGGGCTTTAGAGGTGAGTGTCATCTTTAAAAGGCTAACATTCAGTTCAATAGTCTCGACAAAAACTTGAATTCAACTTAACATATCTTTAAATTTTCACTAAGTTTCACTTAGTCTCATCTTCAATAGTCTAAGATTTAATAGACTTCACTAACCAACCCGATCAACAGCTTGCTGATGCCGTTTGGTAGTACCGAGTGCTTTTAAGTTATTTGTGACTTGGTCTCTGCACCAAAAATGCGGCCGATATGTCCTGCATTTTCTACCCATGGATATTGAATTAAACTTTTAGAGACTTTTGAATATAAGATTTCTGAATACAAGACTTCTAAATACAAGACTTTTGAATATGAGGGTTCACTAGCTTGGTCATGGTGGTTTTATGTAAAAGGTATAGCGTATCAATAGGCTCATTAATATAGCTCATATTTCTATCTAATTTTATACTTGTTAGCAATGCCTGTGTGACTGCAGATCTTCCGGACAATTACCCCGTCAGATTCTCAAAGTGCTTTCTCATCGTTATTGGTTATTGTCCAATCTTTTGCAAAATACAACTGGACACGTAGGATAAGACAGATTAAGAGCCTGATAAGACTTTTATTTATTAGAGAAGGACTTTCTTTCTAAATTGCCTTGTTGACCTGAAGTAATGTCTATTGTAGAGAGTGATTCTTTGTTGAATATCTAAGCTAACGTTCTTTCTTCTTGTGAAATTATTGTTATATATATGTAAGTGGTTAACTTATATATTTCAACAGAGCCGTCGAAACTAAATGTTAGGGTACTACAAGAACTAATTAATTTTATTTATAGCCTAAATTTACATTTTATTTAATCGAAACATTCAAGTTCAGTTTCATTTTTTTATAAAATAATGTAAGATTTTTATTTCTATAGTGGTGATCGCTGAGAAATCTACATATCTACATATTTTACTAAACTAGTGATTAACCTTTTCTCCTTTCTTTTTCTTTAGTTATGAAATCACTCCTCTTTCAACCAAAAAACTTTACTGACATCCCTTTTTACTCCTTATTAAAAGGGATCTATTCCTTTCGATTACTAATATTGAACTTTCACACCTTTTTGTGAATCCCTTTCTTTTGCTGGAGAGCAGGACTATGCTAACTTTAATCAGAATTAAAAAACTTTAACTATTTTGACAGGCTAATTAAGCTTTTCCATCAAACTATCTAAATTCTAATCCATCATTTATAAATTGGTATCCATCTCACAACGGCTAAACAGGCAATTGGACGTTAATGTATGGGATTAACAATAAAAAATTCCTGATTCTTGTCAGATTACTAGATTCGCCTAGTCAAAGACTTTAGATTAGGTGGAGTAAAGTTTCATTCATAGACGCAGAGCCAGAACCATTATAAAGGTCATGATAGGGTAGACCTATTCTCATAGTATGTATTTCTAGTACACACTGACCTATCAGTAATGATACCGTAGTGCTGAGCAGGGCACGCCTTAGTAAAAAATAACAATTTTTAATAATTTTTTGAAATACTCATTTCGACAGAATGTTGCCCACAGCTTTATACTTTTCACATGGACTTTTGCAAGGACATTCATTACTCGCAGTGCATTTAAAAATTTAATTACATTTGAGAGTATTTATGGTAGAAGAAGAGTTTATAATTTCTGGAGTGTTGACCTACTAATTCTGCTTGCAGCTACTTACGTTGCGGTTCATATTAGAAATTTATGTTGCACGTTGTACTTAAATAATTACACTAGAATCTTTAATTGGCTTTGCGGTTGCAACAGAAAGTGCAAAATTTCCTTATAATGCAGCATGAATATTTTATTAACTTGATTTGTGCGGCTTTCAGCTTGTATCCTTAAGGGTACATAAATAAGAATTTTATTACTTCCTTAACTCAGTGGCGGCATTAAAGTATGGAGGATAGAAAGCAGAACTTGTTATAAAAATTTTAAAGTATTTTCTATATTATTATTATTTATAAATAATTATTTATTTATCATTTGAAGGAGCTATTAATATATATGGAACTCTATTCATATAATTATAGTGATTTTATTAAACCTTAACTTCTAAGTACTAAGCCTCTTCATCTTAACTCCCTAATTACTGAAATGAAATCTCGTCGTTACTCTACGGAATAGTGGTGGAAATTTACTCCATTAATTCTTAATGAATGTTATAGTATTTTAAAGTCTTACAGTGTGGCATATAACTAAAGCTCGTATCTGTGTCAAAAGTAATTTCTTTATATGCAAAATCAATTCAATCAAAAATGGACTTTCGATAATCAGTTCATATGTTGTGGTTGTGGCTCTAAGAATGAAACTGTATTGCATATCATGTATCAATGCTCATCACTGATTAGATCTCTGATTCCCTTTTTCAACTGATCTAATATAGCTGTCATCGTTTACAAAACGAAGACATGAGTTTGGAAGAAGTAAAAGACGAATGTGTAGAATAGAGATACTTCGGTATTTTAATAGTAAATACCCTGAAAGAAGACTCACAGAATGGAAATGTTTTTGGTTGTTGTAACCCTAAGAAAGGTGTAGGTCAAAAATGTGAATGAATTACAAGACGAATACGTGAGCTAAGATGGGATGTGTGGGGAAGGTAAGAAGTTGATGTGTGGATGAAAGTATTTCGATTATCATAAGAGATGACTAGTCGTTTTACGCCATTCTTGAAACGTTTTTTGTTATTGTAAGTTAGCATGTCATCATCAGTACCTGACAAATCTGTTTGGTCCAATTTTTTTGTGAATATTGGAAGTGCTTTCGAAGTGATATGCGGCACATGACAGTCTGTGTTGACTTATGAAATTATGTAGTTTAAGTCATTCCAACAGTCTTGAGAATATCTACCAGATTGTCTTTTGCTGTAACCGCCGAAACTGTTGAAATTGTCAGTAGTAACCGTTTTTGGAAGTTGTTGTTGACAAATGACTGTGACGTACTTGCGATCGTTAACGAAAACTTTTGACATTTACATTTATTTATAATACAAAGAACTTCGTTATTATTATCTTTTAGCATTTTCCGTAGCAGAATGGCATTATCCTAGACTTTATTTATTAATTTCCATTTTCTATTAAAGGTTTTAATTGTTCTAGAATTTGAATGAGAATATCACTCGTTCTAATTCTTACAATGCTTTTATAAAGTATAAGTTATAATTATAAATTTTTCTTTAACTTTTTGGATTTATTTTAGTTATTAAAAATTATTAATTTTTGTTTTTTCACTTATTCTGTTTATTGTTTATTCAAACACAATAAACAAAATATATCTTTTATTAATAAATGTAAAATTTGTAGTTTTACAAACGGCGACCGCGACGACCTCCCTTTCTACGTGTGGAATCTGATGGAATTGGTGTAACATCTTCGATGCGTCCAATTTTCATTGATGAACGAGCCAAAGCACGTAAAGCTGATTGTGCTCCAGGACCTGGAGTTTTTGTTTTGTTTCCACCAGTGGCACGCAATTTAATGTGAAGTGCAGTAATGCCAAGAGTTTTACATTTTTCAGCAACATCCTGAAAAGTATAAATTAAATAAATTTAGTAATTGATTAAATTATTTATATTATATTGTTTGTAAATTAGAATTTAAAGATAGATAGGAAGATAGTTTTTGAGTAAAAGAAATATGCTAAACGATTCCTTATATACAATTTTTCACAGTTCTAGTTGACATTTTGTAAGAAATCCATAACTTTACTATTGGTTCTAACAAACGGATGTGGAACTGCTTTATAATGCTCACACACACCTTTCGAATTTCACTGTGTAGTTAAGGCTTAATTAACCTGATTACAACAATAACAATAACGATTTTCAAATGAAACGGAGGATCAGCGATAGGAGAAAAATAACTGCGATCATTATCTAGTTTGATGCAAAAGTCGATTCAAAATTTTAATATGAATAAGACTTCAAACACCCATATATATATGAGTAATTGTAGAATATTCATCCTACATTTTTATCCTTCACATTAAATAGTTAAGAATTATAATTGTTTTAAAATAAATTAAAAATAAATTCCATATAATACTACTGATCAAAGAGGTCGTACTTCATAGAAAAAATTTTTAACCGCGTCAAAATAATCACAGATTTTATCAATTGATTTTTAAGTTTTCTATATAATTTAGTTATATAAAAATAAGCATTAAAATGTTTATATTTTTTAAACTAAATGTCACTACTGGTTAGCGAGCGAAGCTCTAGTTTTTTATGAAGACGCACTAGACTTTTGACGTAAATTCCGGTTGACAGTTGCATTTATCATTCTTCTGAGATGCAAGTTTTAAATATTACAGTAAATTATAACGTTTTAATCACTAATAAACTACATTGACATTGTTTAACTATTTATGATGATAATTAATCAATAGAATCTGTTAGAAATATTATTTTAATGCGCGCCGCATCAATCTCGTGGCCAATTTCAAAACAAAGAATTTGCACGTTTTTTATATTAAATTTACAGCATATAACTCAAACTTGTTAATATCTAAACTTCATAATAAAAAAAAATTTTAAATTAATTTATTTTTTAAATTATTTTCAATTGAACTTACTTGAGCAGCCAACATAGCAGCGTAGGGTGAAGCTTCATCACGATCAGCCTTCACCTTCATACCACCAGTAACGCGAGCAATTGTTTCCCTGCCCGACAAATCGGTAACATGGACGAATGTATCGTTGAAACTAGCATAGATGTGGGCTACACCAAATACAAATTCACCATCACGTACTTGTGGTCCAAGCGATACTTGAACTTCCTCTTTCTGAGCTTTAGCCTTCCTTGGTGCCATCTTTTATGTTCAACTACAAACAAAACATACCATTATTGTACTAAACACAAAAATCGTATTATTTAATTAACAAAAACTAAAGAATTGTGAATTTCCATAGTAAACATTTAATAAATACATTTCTAAAGGCAGTTTCTTGATTTGCCAACACAAAATTAATTCATTCCCATCGCACATAAATCGGTTATTATTTTTCATAATATATTATTTTTAATATTACACAAATATTATTTCACAAGTTCGTAATTTTCTTTTCGAAATAAATTCACAAATTCTTATATATTTTTATTAATTTATTAAGAACAAAATAAAATCACAAACCAATTGCTTGAACCGGATATTGAAAAAGAATGTATTGCAGTTTTTTACTGTCAAAAGTGTCAAACGGGTACGAAAGACAATGTGTGAAGAAGAAACTGCTAGAATTTTTTATGTTACGTTATAACGTAATGGAACGTAATAAATTATGTTTATCTATGATGTTTCAAATTTTATGTTAAAATATTTATTCTAATTCTGCTTATTATTATTATAACAATTATTTAGTTATTTATACTATGCATTAAAGTTTTGCAAATATGTCAGTAAGATACAAAAGCTGTATTCTGTTATACCGAAATGGTGCAAAAACCAACAAATCCCATAATTAAAAAAACATACAGATACATTAGATATATTATATTCGGCTGCTCTGGCGTGTGTCATTATTGTAATCTGTCAAATATTATTTTTCTACAATCAATGAACGAAATTTTATAAATAAATATATATAATATATATATAAATATAAATATATATATAAAAATATATAAAAAGCGAAACAAATTTTGAATAAGAATATGTATAATAAGGAATAGTTTTACAATTACATTTAATATTACTATATCGTTTCTAATATTCACTTAAAACTAATAATTTTTTCAAAATTCATGATTTTAATATAATAGCACTGGCTTCCGTAGTCTATACTTATTTCAATAATTAAAATTTAATTATTATAATATGAATGGCAACAAATACCATACAATTGTTGCAGATTTATAATAATACTAAATTTATTGACATTAAAACGCAGCAAATTCAGTTCAAATTTTGTGAAAATCAAACACTGAACATACTTAATGGAAGTATTGAACAGACCTTAATAGTATCAAGTTTTGATGTTTACCATTTTTGTTTATATTTTGTATTCTAGGATTTACATCTTTTCATAAATTTAAGCAAGTCTCCCTAATTTTATATAACTTATATACTTACTTGATTAGTTTAATACAAATCTTGAAATAATTTATAATCCAGTCGTTAAGCCATCTGTTTGCAAAACTGCGTAACACTAAACGTAGTGACAAAAGCGTTATATGGCGTTTATATTGTGGGATTAAAAGTAGATCCCACTACTAAATTAAAGTACTAATTTAGTTGTTTATTCACAGATTTCCGATACAAAAGTTAATCTTATTTTGGTCGACATTAATTTTAAATCTCTTTAGAAATGGTGATTATTTCTCTGTGCAACTCTGCAAATGTCTTAAAATCGTTAATTTTTTTACGATCTTAGAAGAATTCTTAAATAAATGTCAAAATCTATTTAAAATAAACATAAAAAATTTAAAAATGCCGAAGTAAAATTTTTTATTAAATGTGTTTATGTGTATACATAATTAAAACTAAAATTTGTTAAATTTTTGTTATAAAGTTTTTTTCTTATTTATATTTGGTTTTTTATTGAATCTTCTAAAAATTAACTAAGAACTAACAATAATTTGTTGCTGCATTAGAAAAGAAAATAAATAATTGTCTTTAGCCAAAGCTTCGTCAATTTGATATCGTGCGTTATAGTTCAATAGCCGGGTTTATACTTAACTAAAAGTATCATCCAAATAGAAAATTGTAAACTTTTGATATTTATATATATTCAATATGATGTTAAATGGAATTTTAATTTTAGTACCTTCAGATAATTTGATCGGATATGAAACTTTACTCATTATTCTCGATTTTCGATGTTTTTATAATGTAAAATGTTTGTTATTTACACTATATAACTCTATTGCTAGTAATTAAGATCTCAAATAAGCAAGAAAAATTATCCTAGCCCCTAACAAACAATATTTAAAGTAACTGTATATGTAAATATGGTCGCTATTTTTTAAATAATAATTTATTTATAATGAATGTACTAGATGTGACAAATTACAATTCAAGAGTGTTGCCAAAAAAGAACTTTTGACATCATTGTTTTTTAAGATTTATTGAGTATAGAAACGTGGAAATTTTCATAATATTGGAAAAAAATATTTTAAGGTGTTTTGTTATTGATAAAAACATAAATAAAAAATTTTAAAAAATTTAGCATTTTTCCTTGGTTACACCTAAAAAATTAGATTTGATTTAATTTAAAACATTAAACGTAAACGTAAGCTTGTTATGTATTTATATTTTTTATTTCTATATATTCTTATAAATATAATATATACTATTTAATAATATCTACTATATATAATATTACTATAATTACAGAAGAAACTAACAATTGTAGGCCGTGTGCGAGTTCGAGTAAAATAATGGTAAATTGAGGGAAATTGTGAATTATGTCGGTATGGCAGCGTATGTTGGTATTTACCAGAATTTCGAGTAGACTATGGACGTGTGCGAGTTAGGCTAAGTTGATGCTAAACCAAATGGGAGATTTTTTGGGATTTTTTATACTGCACACATTTAGCCATTTATCAACACGTATCGACAACTCACTACATTATCGGCTCAACTTAGAATTTCCCTCATTTAGAACGCAACTTAGCCTAACTCGCACACGTCCTATATTAGATAAAAATTAGGTAAATGATGTGTTGCCATTGTACACATTTTGTAAAATGTTTAATAATTAAATTTGAAAACTTTTAACCAGAAATAACAAATAAGTGCAATAAATAAATAAATAAATATTTACATAAGTACAGTGCAAAAAATCCCTGGAAAATCGAACTCGCACACGGTTGTAGTATTTAAGTATTACTCTTTTACAATAGGTATATAAAAGTGTGTAAGTGATGTTCGAAAATTGTAAGTTTAAATATAGTAAAGTTCAGTTAAGTGATACTTGAATATATGCTTCCGTTACTAAAATTTTGTTTGATATATATTCAGCGTTTAGTGTTCCTATTTTCTTATTTTACATTTTGTACTATGCCTACTACTTTTCATTCATACCGCAACCCTATTATAAAGTGTGTATAAATGGACTTACAAAGATGAACACAACTAAAGTCGTAAGGGGAATACGACTAGGAAAATTTTTTTAGATTTAGTGTTTTTAACGTAATTAAGCTGTTAAATAAATAATAAAAATATCAATAAAATGAAATTCAAGTATAGTAAACACTTATGATAATAAAAAGTTTAGTAAAAATGTAAAAATTAAGTGAAATTTCTGTTGAACGATTTTGTGGCTGGCATACACTGAGGACTGAAAAAAAAAACTTAGAAAATTTGTATAATATTTGTACATAAAAGTAAAATTTATAACATAACTCAGTTTACATCAAATATTTTTAAATGTTTAAGACTTTAAGTTTAATTTTAATATTTTCATATATAAAATAAAAAAATTTTCATTGAAGTGAAAAAAGGTTAAAGAAAAAAATAATTGGAAAACGAATTGAATGCGAAATTTGTAAAAAAAAAGAATGTAATAACAAAGGACAAGGAAAAGCAATAACAATAACTACAAAACGGAAAAATAATAATAAAGGAAAAAGTAAAAGCAATTTTGAGAAAAAAGTGAGCAGCTGGTGCTGCGCTCCATACACATAATCATATACACAAACACACATACGCCATTACGTAGAACACGAAACACATAACAGCAGCAACAGCAATAGCAACAACAACAACAAGAACAACAAGAAGAAAATTTGTTTATTATTTTCGTTCACGATAAACGATCCATTTGTGTTGTTTTAATTCTCCCCTTTTTTATGTTTCGTTATTCTCAGCTGTGCGTGTGGGGGGTAAAATAATCGACGCGAATCCCCTGCATTTAATGTCGGCCTGGAAACGTTGAAGGACGTGTGCGTGTTTTGTGTAGTTGGGCAGCTCGACAGCTCGACAAGACGTGTTCCCAAAAAATTAAAATTAAATTTATAAAATATAACGATTTATATTAAAATACAAAAAAAAAAAATATATATAAAAATATATTCATATATATATTTGTATATTCTTGTAAATATAAAATAATTTATAATTAATCAACGTGGCGAACCGCAACAACAATGGTGGCGCAAGTGGCGCTGCTGAGGGATCATCGCGTCGTAATGGTGGAGCAGCAGCTGCTAATGCAGAACAGGGAGCTGCAGCGAATGCGGATTGGAATCAAGAAGAAATAGATCGGTTCACGTTTGATGATTCAGATCGTTTCGAAGAGGATTCGCTATGCAGCTGGAGCTCTGAACCGGAATCGCTCTGCAATAATTGGCGTGGTTGGAAAAAACCTTCCACTTTAAGTGTAACAAATAGTGTTAGCAGCAATAATACAAGTGCTACGGTACGCAAAACGGATGAAAGCGGTGAGTAATGGATTTTTTCTTTTTAAATATTTTATTAACTATTTTGTTAACATCAAATAATTAAGTGATTCAAAAGAATTTAGGAATGCAATTTTTTTATTACACATCTCACTAAAAATAGTCGCTTTTCATTATGCCGTATAATATTATTATTAAAAAAATGACGAGGTCAGTTATTTATATACATATATACACATATATATTTATTCATAATGCTTTCTCTGATGGTGGTACAAGAATTGATAATAAATAATTTATATTAAATAATTTTTACTTATAATATTAGTTCTAACTTTTTTATTTGGTTCCAGTTCAATATTCCATATACTGACAACTATTTTAGATCACCTCGTCTTCAAACAGCTCAATACTTTTTTTAAGTCATTTTATTATTATTGAAAAGAGGGGAAAGGTTTTTCCAAGTCCGATTTTTTTAATGAAAGACAGTATACCGTCCTAAGGTATTTCTTCTGCTTGTGCATCAGTGCCGGGCACTCCTCAAGCACACGGTATGTAGTTTCTCCCTCTTCTCTCTCTTTAAGTCATACGAATAATAGAATTTATTAGATCTTGTGTTTTTGATTAGTTAATTAATGCCTCTTCATTCAACTATTTCTTTAGAGTTGATATTAGAAAATTACGACTATTTTCTCGATATATTCTTCGAGCGGTTCGAATATATAACTTATCGGATTTTGTGTCTTCGATTATATTATATGTTTCTTTCCCTTTAAGCATTTCTACAATCAGATAATAAATGTCTTTCGAATAATATGGTAGAACTTATCGGATTTTGTGTCTTCGATTAGATTATATGTGTCTCTTCACTCAATATAAAGTTTTTTCGAATAGGAAGATTGGTATGAACGAATAATTGTTTATTAAATTTGAAACTAAAAGACTCAGAAGTTTAAATTGGAAGAAATTAAGTTATAGATTTATGTCAAAAAAAAAAAACATGAGTCAAGTTTTAATAAATGTGTATATAATATCATTCCTGGAATGAATGAAATACAAAACAAAGATCTCAATAAAAAATATATATTCTACAATGTCCTATGTTCTGTTTCATTATATATACACATCAATTCTTATTTTTATTGTCTGTTATTGACTGAATCGATCTTAGAATTATCTATACTACAATGAAACGCAGGTAAAATGGCACCAATCTGCTTACTAGTGAGGTTTACAACAAAAGTAGCCATCTCAAAATGAAGATAGGCTAGTTTTTATGCTGATGCCATCATATTGTTGATCTCCGTATCTATTATTATAAGTATCAAGATACAACGCAGAAAAATTTAAAAAAAATAGTAGTAGGTTGCAGGTAGTTATCGTTTACTATCTGCAACCATTAAGGTTGTCTATCTTATACATATGTATAAGAATGTTCTTCGGTACCAATGACTGCTTAAACAGGCGGATCTTTGTGGGAAAATAAGTGAAGTTACCTGAAATGTTTATTGCAAGCGAAGTTTTGCAACTACTAACAATCACAATATCAGAGTTTAGATCTGTAGTACTGCATGACTAAATTAGTTCTTGTGAGTTCATCGGTAGATTCGATATTCTTTGATTTTTATTTTGAGGAACTCCTTCGAATGACGGTTATTCCAAATATTCAATTTTAGTCATATTTTTCGATTATTATTGAGTCTACTGGATTGCATTACTGAACTGATTTTGTGAGCTCAATCAGAGTTTTGTAACAAGTCATTTAAGAGTGAACAGGTACCCAAGAAAAAACTGTTGGATTTTGGTTTATTTACAGTTTCAGTGCTTCATAATATTCTGCCAGAAATTGTGAAGAGAATATCCATGAGAATAATGCCGTGATCTGTGTTTAACTCTCTGTATAAATATAGATGTCGTTGACTGTCAAAATAAGTGCAAATATTAATGACATGAACCGCTGATTGATAACAATTGGACAAGCATCCACTATTGAGCAAAGATTCTGTTTTAATAGCAATATCTCCAGACTGATTCTATGGTTTGTGTTTTAACGATTAGTGTATCATATAGTGTATCTACACCTAGTGTATCTATATATTGTTAATATATATAAATAGATAGAGATTGAGATGTAAATAGATAGAGATAGAGAGGTAAATAGATATATATAAAAATAGGTATAGAGGTTGTTAGTTTATTTGTAATGTTAATAGGAATAAAATCAAGCTAATAACAATATTTAATATACCACAAGACATTTTCAATACGTACATGTTAAATTTTAATATATATAAAAAAATAAAATTTAAAAAAGATACAAGATTTGCTTGTAAAATCCCTTTGGGTGTGGTGAAAGGCACTTGGTCGCCGATATTGACGAGTGGCTCCGGGACGTAGACCCGGTTGCTCTTGGAACCAAAACAAAGTAACAGAAGTTCATGCCCTCAATGTTTTTAGTAAGACATTTTTAATACGTACATATTAAATTATTATATAAAAATAAATTTTAAGAAAATCATATTTATCATAATGATCATCATCATCAATATTAATGGCGTAACGATTCTAGTTATGATGTCAAAGTAATAATAGAAGTTGATGCCCTCAATAAAGGATTTTTTAACATGCCCATATATCTGCACTCTAAACATAGCAAAAATTAGCTTAGATTGGCGTTTGAAACACGTGCTATCATACATAGTTCTGACTTTCCTTGTCAAAATGCAACGAGTCGGATGCAAAGGAAACTCCAGAGCATCTGCTGTGTAACTGCCCGGCTCTCTCGAGAACTCGACAAAAATACTTGAGGGCTGTCAGTTTTACCGGACTGGAGCACATATCTGAGGTTCCTGTTGAAATCCTAATAAAATTCGCTAATAATACGCGTATCCTAAATTATGCACACAATTGGTAAAATAAGACTCTGATCTGGAATCGTAATGAATCTTAATGGTCTACGCGTCGCCTTTAATGGTGTACCTAATAATATCATTTAGGAGATAGGAGATACTCGATTATTGTTAATGTAGATAGATGTTTCACGATTTTCCAAACAATACTTTTTGGAAAATTAAACTAATTTGATGGAGTTCTATGTGTTTTTTTGCAATATATGAAAGTCAATGAATATCTAAAATTCCAATTTGATAGACGTTCTATGTGTAGTTCTTACCATACTATGTAAAAAGTGTATGAATAAAATTTAAGTTATTTTCTCTTAATTAAATTTGACTTTATGTTTACTCAAGTCATCTCTTCACTACTCCCCCTTTTTTATTCATTGTCCGTTTTCTTAACTTAAATTGTAAGGGTTTTTGCTTCTGACTATCGTTTCGGTAATTTATGCGCAAATCTTTAAATTGAAATCAATGTCAACTTCGGTAGAATTCATCTGCTTCCCATCGCAATCACTTACTGGCAATCTCCAACAATGGAACAGCAACTCATACGCTTTGTGCAATGCTTAAATGTCAATTACCTTAAATTACGGCTTCTTAGTGACGGGAATACACGGTCTCGCAAGACGTTACGAGTAATGCCAATGCTTGATTTATAAAACTGAAGTAACGCTCCATGGCAACGTTTACTAGAGTGCAACAATTGTATCTGTTTGCAATTATTTTTTGCAGTGTTGTTGTAGTAAAGTTTGTAAACAATTGTTTAGGAATTCAATATGAAACGCTGTGTTGTTTGTTTAGATTTTGTCTAGATACTACGATATGCATTCGAATGCGCTCTGGTCATATCAGAACTACGCGAATATTGGCAGGAGTTTTTGTTGTTGCTTCTTGATGATTGTTGCTGTGGCTTGTAAGGGCTAAGAGGCAACAACATTTGTTTGTTGTATTTATGCTGTTTTTATTGTTTTTGTATCTTAAGTTTGTTTTGAGGCACTTACACGTTCCCTTTTTTCTTTGGTGAGCTTTGTGCGGGTATGTATACATATAACAGGATATATTATATTGCATACGGGTGCATTGATGAGTGTACCTTTTTCAAGTACTCGTTCGGTATAATGCAGCGAAAGGAATTAAATTATTTATTTTTTTTTTGTGTACATTGTATAATAAAATTATGTTGTCCCTTGCTCAATTGCTTGCTGCATTAAATTTATAATTTTTCTTCCATAATTTTTTTGTAGCCCACATACAAGAGTTGTGTTTCGAAATCGTGGCTTCAATCATGCTTCATTGTTTTGATTCGTTCGGTTCGTAAAGGTTCAGTCCGTTTACATATTTTAACGAAACTATTGCGTCCGTCTGTCGTTTTGTTATTCTGTGGACATGACCGTATGCTGTTTACTACCAATTCAAGCTGTTCTCCATATTTTTGTATGTTGCGCTGTATCTTTGTGGGTATGTTGTGCTGTATCTTTGAGGGTATCTCCATTGTCCTTAGTGCGTTCGTAAGACATTTTCTTATTTCTCATTTGTACACACACTTGTATATTTTGTTTAACTTGCTTTTGTTTTGCTAATACATTTATAGAAATCGTGTTTTTTGTTTCGTCATTCCTATTCCAGCGTCCCTTTCAGGTCGTCGTCAGGTTCTTCACTTTTGTGTTTGTTGTGTTTGTTGTGTTTGCTTCCTTTCAGTAAACGTGCCATGCCGTTTGAATGTACGGTGCAGTTGTAAAAGTCAAGGAACCTTTTCAAGGATTCTTTTGATGTTTCAATAAAATTAATACCCAAACTCACACTTACACTTATACTGGCCTGAACGTTGTTCGCCCTCTCGTACTCATACAACGCGATTTATGTTCGCTTCTGAAATTATTTATATTTTTAAGGTTTCATTACTTAAGGCGCTTCATGCGTTCTCAAATGCAATTTAAATATAAAAGGTTATTAAATGTTGTTGTTATTATTGCTGTTGTAGCTGTTGTTACTCTTATTCTCATAGTTGTAGCATGCTTTTGTACCTGGGCTTTCCTGACAGTTCCTGGCTGCTTTGCGGATTGTGCTGTATTCAATTTGTCTGTACATATTCGCAAATTATATGCTTATGATTTGGTATTTATTTTGCAATTCTTTGCATTTGTT